GATGGATAAAATATATGCTTTAGAGAAGATACTGATAAGATTTTCCAATCATAATTATCTAGATGTTAATATTACTAATATAACTATATGAGGAATCCTAAAGAGTTTGTTTTCTTTTGTTTGGTTTTGTCCCCATTTCATAAAAAGCTACTTCCAGAGCTCTCTCCCTTTACAGAACTGATAGGAATATTCATGTTAACTTACATATATTAAGTCTGATTGCACATATCTAAATCATAGGCATGTCAGAATATTTATATATTTCTAAACCTCTTGCTTCATTCATCCTAGATATTTCTGTGAATTATTCTTTCTTAATTGAATATGCATTACATTATATCAATGACACATTTAGGGAGAGTATTGGACTAAATAAATGCACAGTTGCTGCCTTATTTTAAATATTAATTAAAGTTCAAGAAGTGGAGCGAGAAAGAAGGCTCAGTGACTAAGAGACTGGCTGCTCTCGCAGAGGACGTGAATTCAGTTTCGAGCATCCACATGGTGACTAACAACCATCCCTAACTCCAACTCCAGGGATTTACTGCCCTTTTTTGGCCTTCATAGGCATTGCACAACATGGATATACTTACATAAATGCAGGCAAAACACTTTAAACAAATATTTAAGAAATAAAATACAAGGTTTAAAGAAGAATAAAGTAAATATACTCAACAGAAATCTTCCAAAATTGAAAGTAGAAATATACAGACCAATCCTAAATGTTTAATTACACACAAATACCCAACAACGAGATGATAGAAAGCTTAAACATGTTGTATTTATACAATTATATGTGTATATACATATATGCAATCAGTCAATTCACTAACATAAGATATAAATCTCATACATTGTCTTGTAATAAGATAGACACTAAATTGTGTAATCTGTGTTTCTTTTCATTTGAAACATACAATAACTGGTCAAACAAATTTATTTTATGAATGAAACAAGATTTCATTAGGAATATATTCATTCTTAGGAGGAATGAGGAGAGTATCTTGTGTAATGCTATCATTTGCCTCTGAACCTATTTGCTGATCACATACCAACACTTATCGTACAAAATTTCATGCTCAGTAAATGAGCTTTGCATGCAGTTTTCTATTGTCTTTATATGTTTGTAAAATGTTTTAAAAATTGATGGTAACACTTTATTCTATTTGTCAGTTTGTCAAGACAACAAAATCATAGTGCTTCCCATTTTAAATAAAATGCTGTACAACCCTTTGCTTTTAAGATGGTTGTTTCATAATGCCAGTGCATAGTGCTAAAGATTAAGTAAGAGGAAAGAGAGCATGAATAAAATAATTGCTCAATATGTTGATGAATGGTTAACATGGAAGCACAAAGCAAGAGATGAGGTATGCCTCCTAGTTCCTTTCTAAACAACAGGAAAACGACAGTGGATCTTCCTCCTGGCTATGGCCTCATGAAACCATGACATGGCAAGCAGAAAAAGAGTCAGAAATTTACTTCCCTTTCAGCAGTTGTCGATGACACCAAACTTTTCTCAGAGCATTCTTCATCTCCGTGTTTCTCAGCGTGTAGATCAGCGGGTTGAACATGGGAGCAATGATGGTGTAGAAAAGAGCGAACACCTTGTCTTGTGGGAAAGTTCTGGCTGGTCTGATGTAAATGAATAATGCAGGTGCAAAAAACAGGACTACAACAGTTAAGTGGGAACTGCAAGTGGAGAGAGCTTTGCTGCGGCTCTCCACAGAGTATGCCCGTACGGCATACAATATAAAAAAATATGACAACATCAATACAACAAAAGTCACCAGTGCAATTAAGCCTGAGTTAGCAGTAACTAAGAGGCCTATTATATGTGTATTGGAACAGGCCAGCTTCAGCAAAGGGTACACATCACAAAAATAGTGATCTATCTCATTAGGGCCACAAAATGGTAAGAAGGCTGTGAGAAAAAACTGACCGGCTGAGTGTACAAAGCCTCCAGTGCAACAAGCCATGATGATTGAGTTACATCTCTGCCTGCTCATGATGATGGTATAGTGTAGGGGCCTGCAGATGGCCACATAGCGATCATACGCCATCCCTGTGAGAATGAAGATCTCGATGCCTCCAAATAAATGTGTAGTGAAGAGCTGTATCATGCAGTTATTATAGGAAATGATCTTCCTTTCTGCCAGTAAGTCAGTCATCAATTTAGGAGTCACAGTAGATGTATAGCAGAGGTCAGAGAATGAGAGGTAATTGAGGAAGAAATACATGGGTTGGTCAATGAGCTGAGTGCATGAGATTGACACCATTATGAGCACATTGCCCATCCAAATAGCAACATAGCAAAATGAAAATAATATAAAGCATAGGAATTCAATGTTCCTATTTTGGGAAAGTCCTAACAGAATAAAATCAGTGATGTTGTTGGCTTTTTCCATGGTTCAGAGTAGACAGAACACATAAATCATCTGAAATTCATAAGTGGGGAGCATATGTTTCAGAGTTATTTCAGAGCTTCGTGACCACATCCTGCCTGTGTACTAACTGTGCTTCATTTAATTCATTCAAGTATTTCAGAGAATGAAAATCTGGTTTTCAATTAAAATGGCTTTCAAGATTTTAAGGAAAAAAATGGATGATTTCCAATAAATCTTATAGCAAACTGAAATCAATTTATGGCTTAGCAAACATAAATGCCTTTGTTCAATATTAAATTAAGAAAGGAGTATATATTCCCAAAATACAGTAGTATTTCCTTGTTAATGATGTTTGGTGTGCTGGTGTGGTGATGCGCACATTTGCCTCAGCAAAAGTGTTAATATTTGAGTACATAAAGAGAGATTTTTTTTCTTTAGATTAATTCAATGAAACATCAAAGCTTTATGAAACAAATAAACCTAAGAATCAATTCCAGAAAATACTGTCCAATAGAAAATGTTGAAACCATTGGTTCTTCCTACTGGATATTATATTTGACAAGTCAAAATCCATGTAACATCAAAGTTTTATCAAACAACAAATAAATCTAATAATCAATAGCAGAAAATACTGTTCATTAGAAAATATTTTAAGCATGGACCCTTCTTGCTGGATATTATATTTGAAAACTCAAACTTCATGTAATATCATGATTGGAAAATGTTTTTTTTTTTATAATTGCACAATACAATAAATTATAATTTGTCTAAATTCATAAACTTTATTTAATTTTATTTTGGTTTTTTGAAACAGGGTCTCCCTGTAGCTCCAGTTGCCCTGGAACTTGTTATATAAACCAGGCTGGCCTTGATCTCACAGAGATCCAGTCTACCTCTTCCTCCTGGGTATAGGGATTAAAGATGTTGTGCCATCACATCCTGCTCCATAAACTTTCTTCATAGTGACAAATCACAAAGAACTGGGGTTAAGAGGGGTCCAAGTGTCAAGGCAGGCTGTGCTTTTTCATTCTACCATAATATACCTTTAGCTTACAACAACTTCATCTGCTTCCAGACAACGTTAAAGAATATGACTTGTCTTTCATAAAATGAATGTAGAATTCAAAGACTAATACAATGTGTAATTTCTTTGTGAATTCTAGAGTTATTTACATAGATTGTTTTATTTAAATATTCGGAATGCAATGTGGTAAATCTAACTCTGAAGAAATGAAATGACATTTAAGAATATTAGAATATTTTGAGCTTAGTGTTTTGCAATCAACTTTCCAGTTTTATTTTCACTAATGTGAGGTTTTAATTTCAAACCATAGAAAATACACAAGGATTGTGATTCTCATAATCAATCAATGAAAATCATCTAGACAGAGTAGGATTTGGCTGTATAAATTAGAAATATTGCAGTGGCTGGTTACTAGACCTAGTGCTACACTGTTAGAATTGTGGACAGCATTAAATAATTGACACGAGTTCCTTTAATTTTTATTTTAAATGAAAATTCTTAGAATTAATTCTTACCAAATATTCTCAAAATGCTGCAATTTTTTTCTGCATTTTCAGCCCTGATCTCATACTCACATTTTCACTGAAACACCATTTAAATTCCATCCACTACTGAAATATTATTGATTAATACTTCTATCCATACAATGTATATTTTTATTTTATTGAATATCACACATGAGTATATCCTTTGTATTATTTACATATCTCCAGGCCCCTCAAATTCCTTCTATATTCCCCCACTTTCTCTCAATATTTTGTCCTCTTCATTAATTATTATTGTTAGGTATACATACATATATAAATTTATAGATTTATGTATATCTGTAAATCAAGGCATAATTATTAACAGAGATTGAATTTTAAAATAAAGTCATTCATTTCTGTAGTGAAATTTGAAGAACCAGAATTAGGAAAAAGGCACAGCTTTTGAGAAATAGGTTCTAATCTTCTTCCAAAATAAATTTTTATAACATAATAAAAGTACTTAATACTACTTTTAATCATTCTTAAAATAGGTTAATAAATTTTATGAAAAGTTATATATGTGTAATTTAAAACATACTTGAACTATATTCTTATATCTGTCAAGGATTCTTTAAACCTCTTCTTAAAGCACAGAATGTTCTCAGGCAAAGCCAGTCTGTTGATTCTCTTCCATTTTTTTCTGTTTAATAAAATATATTGCTAGAACCTTGAGTTGCCTCAACACAGAAAAGTACAGTTGGCGTTTAACATTCCTACTTGGAAATTTTTCTTTTTGATTCAACCTCTTCACAAACATAGAACTATCAAATTTAACTGTCACAGTGTTAGTGTTTTAAAATGTTGGCAGTAAAAATTTAATCATTCTATCTAATCTATGTGCTTCCCTTGCTATGTGTATAGTCAGCACCTAACTTCACATATAATCTTTATGGATTTGAATTCACAAAATGATCACTCATTTCTTTTTTAAAAGATCTCTTTTTAATTTGAAATGTAGAAAAATGCATCATAATCTGTACTGTTAGAGACTGGTTCTACTTCTCAACTTTGACAATAAATGAAAAAGAAAAAGATAGAGTGGATTTTGAATGGCAGCATTGTAGTAATTTTGCACCACATAAAAAGTGACTACAAATCACTATGGGCTTACCCAGGTGAGTAAACCTATGCACAGTAACACAGCCAGCACATAGCCAGCTGCATCCTAAAACCTGAGTTTTATGACACCAGAGCCTGAGTTTATCACCACGACAGTACATGTCCTGTCAAAAGTTAAGCAAAACCAGCTGGGTATAGTGTTGCATGTATTTAATTCTAGCACTCAGGAGGCAGAGGCAGGCGGATCTCTGCAAGATCAAGGTCAGCCTGTTCTACCTAGCAAGTTTCAAGTCAGCTAGGGCTACAGGGAGACTCTGTCTCAAAAACGAAAAAAGAAAAAAAGTTAAGCAAAAGTAGAAAAGGGAATAAACTGAATATGAATTCCGAATCTCCCAACTTTGAAATTTGTATACATGATTGAATCAATCAGGCAAACCAGTATATTTTCTGAATTTCAATCTTTGCCCCATTTTAACCAATTAAATTTAAGTGGAATGTGTTTAACTAGAAAATGGAACTATAAATTGTTAGTGTCTACATACGAACCACAAACCAAATTCAGAATTCTTTGGTCTCTAAGCCAGCTCTACAAAGTCCCAAATGCTTAAGTCATGCAAGTTTTGCACTAGCAATACAAATCCTATCAAGCATGATTAGTGATACTGTCGTCTCAGATACTGTTAATGCAAGAAAACTAAGGGGGAGAAAAGGTTTGGAGTTCAGCATCTAGTCTTGTCACTTCTTCGATTTGGGAGTTTACATTCTCAATCCATAAATTTCCTCTCTTTAAAATAAGGGAATTAGAATTAATGTTCTTTGATAATGATGTATTTTCTTAGTTCAATTATATCCTTGTTAGAGTTTACTCCCTTCCTCTTTGCAGTTACGAAAGTATGGCTTTGTTTCTGTGTGGAAGCCCTCCAGTGACTCAGGCAGGATTAACCAGTGATCTTGATTTTGTGTCATATGACAAATCACCTGTCTACATTCAGCTCTTCCTTGAACTTCTTTCTTTCTTAATCTAAAAATATCTTCATCTATAATATTTACTATAAGCTGCTAATTAATATGCATTATAAACATAATAAAAATACAAATATTTATGAAAATGTTACAAAATAAATACTTTATTCACAGATGTTCTACACTTACATTGAATGTTTTATTTTCCTTCACAGTCATTCATTTATCATTGCAATTAATCATGTAACTGAATTATTTCTTTTCAACTTCTGACTTGATCTGCAGTTCAAAGAGCCACAATGTTTCCATTTCTATCTTCCACAGATTATATGTGAGCAAATACAAAATTTAATAACTATGGTCACTTATGACATGGCCAAATTAACAATTAAAAGAGGCTCTCCATCCTAAAGAGAATGATTATGAGACAGGAGATCACTGGTTTTGAAAACTAGCTCCACCATAGTTTATATAGAACCAATTTATTTTTGAACATTTTCAGATTCAAATGCTAAGTAAGATTTTTTTGGGGTTGGGGGAAGATTCTCTCCTAAAGGTACATTTTTAGAAAGCTAATCATTTATGTATACTCACATAAATCAACTTGTATTTGAGATCTGCAACATGTTTCTCAAATTCCACTCATTACAAAGCTTTTATGACTGATATAGTTTTCTTCTTATATAATTCAAATTTCTTTTCCCCTTTTTTTGTGACTGAGTTGAAGTTCTTCTTATGCTAAAAAATGACTTCTGACAATTCCCAAGCAGCATTTTTATTATGTTCTCTGGGGAAAAAGTGTGTGTTTTATGTACTTATTTTTCCAGCCCTGGAGCTGGAACCCAGAACATTGCATGTACCAGGCTCTGCTACTGAGAAACGCCCTTAGCACTTTCTGTGGGCCTTTCTGTATTTCCAGTCAAAGGTATGAAAAAAATGGATAGTGAATGGTGGAAATAAAGATTAGAATAAACCTTGTGTGGTTGCATTTTAAACAGATTTTTCTGGTGGTTAACTAAAACACCAGTGTTTAAGATTTATAACTTTATAAACATGGTTTGTAAAAAAAAAGGTTAGTATATATTCCATAACCCATTATAATGTTAACTTTATATATATTCCATAACCCATTATAATGTTAACTTTACTCAGAAAATGCTTACATGTCACATCCATTGCCTATATATTGATTAGGTGAAAGGGAAATGAAGGCCAGTTTAAGACTCTCCAGGCACTATATATATGTGCACCCAAAATAAGTATCTATTAAAGAGGTCAAAATGCTCCACTGGCCAGAGACAGAACAATTTAAGCAAAAAGTATGTAATGATGGATTAAACCATAAATTATAAAGTAAGTGTAATTTAGTCTACATTATATAAAATGAATAAAGAAATGAACAGAAAAACTCTTAAATAATTTCAAAAGTTTATAGAAATTAAAAATAT